GCGTGGGGCACCCGCAGCATCCCTTGCTGCTGGGAGCAGCAGAAAGAGCGGAGCCAGCACCGCTGCTTGGGAGCTGCTCCGGGCTGCTGAGCCCCTCCAGGAGACACTGCTGGCCCCAAGGAGTTTACCTTCGAATTAAGAAAAATGTAGCAAGTTGGTGGAAGATGCAGGGAATGAGGGATGGGGAACAGCAGCAGGAAGATGGATTTCGAGGTGGTGTCCTGCTGGCCCTGACTCGCGGTCACCACTTGGCCACGTCCTCCAGCGAGTGGCTCAGACGGGGACCCTGCCTCCGCCAGGCTCACCGACATCCATCACTCCTGCCCCACGCTGCTCCCCGTGACCCCGTCTTCCCCTGCGGGCGCTGCCTCCATCAGTCGTTTCATTTGCTCAGAGCATTTCCATGGGCTCTTTGCTCCTTTCCCTGGCCCCAAATCCTCCCAGCACCCCGAACTCCTCCTCCTCCTGGCCCCTGGAGCAGCAGTAGGAGCAGCGCCGTCCCCATGGCCTCGGGGTGCCCATGCTCTGAGCAGCAACCACACTAACGGGGACGCACGGTGGCAGGGGACTGCCCACGCACTTGCCAAGCACAGCATCGGGGCGAGCCCAGCCATGCTCACACAGCTATGGAGCCTGCAGGGAGGGCGGCCAGATTTGGGGTCCCTCGTTCCTCGCCGGGGTCCCTGCTGCAGCCTGTGTCATGCCCAGCCCGGCTGCTCTCGGCGGTGCGGTGAAGCACCAACGGGTGATGGATGAGGGAGGATGCCTGAGCGGGGCTGGCGACTGCCCCGCTCCCAGGATGCGCCTGCACAACCCGGTGCTCGCTCTGCAAGCTGGCCTGGGCTGTGATTGTCTTGGCTTGAGTTGAAGGACTTTCTCATATAGTTTGACTTGTTCTTTTAGGATGATGAATGGGACTCTGACTTCAGCAACATCTGTTTATTTTTCTTGTATGTAAAACCTCATGTGCAGAAGAAATTGCTGGGTAATTGCTGGAGAGGGGGAGCGTGGCCCTCCAGCTCCACAGCAACTCCAGCTCTCCAAAGTGATCCCATCCCTTTCTCAATGCCAGGGGACACTTAGACACAGGTACCCACGCAGCACATACACCACGTGCCCCAGCACTGCCCCGGCACCGTGGGGCTCAGCCCACACCAGCAGGACCCTACCAGCAGCACAAATCCACCCGCTCCAGCCCCAGGCTGGGGCAACAGCTCTGGGGGACCCCGGCGCCAGACCCTGCCGTCCTTGTTCCTCCAGGCCACGTGGCTTCCTCCCTCCATCCCCGCTCCCCACCGGCCCTGCTCCCCGCTGCCTCGCCCGTGCCTCCGCAGCAGCCAGCCACAGGGACCACGACACCACAAGCCACGTCCCAAGCCAGAACCCTCCCAGCCCGACTGGGCACTCTGTTTTCATCCTCTTACTCAAACACTGTAAACAGAAACGCTGATTATTTTCATATCAGGTGGTTAATGGCTTCCACATGTGGCACGGGCTGGGACACAGCATTTGCCCCCCCCTCCCCATGCCCACCAAGCGCTAGCGAGGGCACAGAGGACTGGAGCCCTGCTCCCAGCCAGGGGCGATGCCCCAGCGTAGCCCCAGCCCCAGGAGGGTCCTGGGCACGGGGGCCCGTGGGAAGGCAGCCCTGGGCACGTCCCTTGGTGACGCTGTGGCTGCACAGCATCCCTGGGCAGCCTCCCCTCGCCCGGTGCAGCGCTCATGTGATAAAAGCAAACAGCCTCATGGATGCTGCAGCCACCCCCCCCCCGCCTGGTCCCCAGCCACCGGGGCAGGACCTGGCCGGGCTCCCTCCTGCCCCGGGCACAGCTGAGCTCCCACGGCACCGAGCCCAGCAAGCTGCCTGCTCCCCCAAGCTACGATAGCTTCCATACCAACAGATCTCAGGTGCTCTCCAATGCAGGACAGCCCTGGTGCTGCCTGGCCTCCCCATGCAGCAGGTCGGACTAACCCCACTGATTCGTTCCTCCGGGCATCTCCCTGGCCGCTGCCACGCAGAGGGATGGGGCTGGGCTGTGCCCAAGGGGAGGGGGATGCTGCGCTGCGTGACCTTGGTGTCACCACCCCAGCCCCGCTGGGAGCGGGACTCAATTGGGAAAGCAGAGGCTGGCCGGCTGCTCGTGACGTGCCGCGGCGGGGACGGCAGCGCGTGGCGCGGTCCAGCTGGGAGCGGCATGTCCCCAGGCAGGCAGGGCGGGGGGAAAAAGATGGGAAAGTTTTGTCTGATCCCCCGCTTTCCCCCCT